GCACAAAACAATGACTCTCCTGCAGTTATCGAAAAAGAAGAGCCTTTCGAATAACATTCATTTGTTCAAATTCTTTTGTAAAATTACTTTTACTGCTGTTGGCATATTATTTAATGGTTAGATAATACATGTATTAAACAGTGTAATTGTGTGGGAGAGTAGATTTAATGTTTATTTTGTTGTCTGATAAATCATCAATTCTGTCATCTAACTTGGCGCCATGTTATTTAAATTTTTAAAAACAGTGTTTAACTTACAGTGTGTAATTACTATCATTATCAAACAAGCACTGAACTATCATTGAATTATGTATAGCTCTTTTTATCATTTTGCTAAGTACATCAGTCATGCCAGTATGATAACTGTATATTAAATTAAATGAAATGTTCTGCATGATATACTTCAAGTCTTTTCTAATGAAAACATTGTATGTTAATTGATACACTACTGTGCTCTTGTTTATTTTCTTTTTTACACACAATAGCATCTTTATGATTTCAAAGTAAGTTTTTTTTATGGTATGCCAATTCCGTTAAGCCTAAAGGCATAATTAACACTAATGGAATTTTTATTTAAAGCTTAAATGGATACTGAACTGCGACTGTGCAAACAGAAGTGATGGGCTAAACAGTGATAGGGTGATTTTTTCATGATATAAACAAAGAATATAACGCCGCTTATAGTTCCCAACGAATATTTTATTTAACGTGCTCTATTTTGATGGATTTAAAGCACTCTATATATGGTATGTCATTACGTGTTCGACTTAGGTTCATTTCAATATTGCATCTATTGTAACATTATTATATAATTAATCATCATCAGTGCAATAATCATCATCATTAAAATCATCAATCTCATCATCATCATCTTCATCATTATCATCATAATATTTTCGTCATCGTCGTCGTCATCATCAATCGTCGTCGTTCGTCGTCGTCGTCGTCATCATCATCATTATCTTATAATTTTCATCATCAATCAGCAGCAGCAACATTATCTCGTCATCGTCGACGTCTCTTTAGTCAATCAAACATCATCGTCATAATCAGTTTAAAAACGTCGTAACTCCATCATAATCACTGTCATTTTTGTCATCATAAAAACGACATCATCATCATCAGAACCACATCACTTAGTTATTGTCAGCAGATAATCATCATCATCATCTGCACCATCACCATTGTCAAAATCAGATAATTATTATCTTTATAATCATTTCTATCATGACCATCATTTTATTTTTGTCTGTTTTAATGATAAATGTTTTTCATCCAATTAAAGAAGATTGTACAAGAGGCAATACGATTTCACCATATACCTTCATTCTATATGCAGAGATGTACCCCTATCATTTATTATAAAGGGGTATATATTTGGCATAAATTCTTTTTGTTGGACTATATTTTACATTTATTGGCAGAACATCAAGATTTTAGGTATCGGTTTCTTATGGTTCCGATTACTAAGTTTAAGTGGTATATATATTCATTTTAATGCAATGTATGGCAAAACAAATGGACTTTGAATACAGATAATGGATATTCATTAGTAAAGAAAACTGTTGTTCTGAAGGTCATTGCTATTTCAATCGACTTAAAAACGAGAAAGAAAAAAACGGCGTCAGGGATAACTGCTTTAAACAATGAATCATATATGATATTACGTGTGAGCCTGAAAATATAAGGAATGTATTCTGATCATTTAAGACGGAAAATGTCACTCATTTCTTAACTAAATGCGGGACTAGTAAAACGAAGAATTTAAAGTGATAGTTTAAAAAGTATCTATTTAAGCTCGGTTGTGTTAAAACTTGCATTTTATTTGAACTAATCACGAGTCAGCTCCCTAGCCATTATTTCATATGAGACAACATAGTCTTGACAAAGCCAGTATTTTTGGGTGAAAAAAGTTTCTTAAGGTCAAGGCTGGTGATGCCTTTAGCGCTTTTGTCCTGCATAGTACCGCCGTGATGATTCAAAAGCTAAATGAAACGTACGTGTACTATCTCATTCAGTAAAAGTTAACCGGTAAGAAGGAAAAACAACAAATTTCCTTGAAGCATGCACAGATTTTATTTATATGTACATATGACAACACACGTTCAATCTCGTTATACAAAAGAAGCTGTAATTATTTAGTTAATTCCTTAAATGTTATAATATATATTAGAAGTCTTAATATTATGTTTGATGTAGTTAATTAAATGACATTCTATTCATATTGTAACGTTATGATGATTTGAAAAAAAAAACAGATATTTTAAGAAGCATACTAGGTGTAACACTGCAAACAAAATAACACACAATGTGACCAGGTTTATATTCTGTAATTAAATATTCGTTTCTGCCTTACATACATACATATTTACAAACAACCTTAAAATACTCTTGGATATAAAATTCTTACGGAACCAAATTATTGATTCGTGTTTTATGTTACAAAACAACAACAACAAAAACGAAAAAAAAAACACAAAAAACACTGTTCCAGCAAAAATAGCGACAATTGGTTCGATTCTAATCAGAATATTTATTTCACAAAAATTAGCATTGCATACTCAAGTAGACAAGCATACTTCATAGCAAAACCACATAACTGCCTTGATTAAATATATATTATGCTTAAATTCGATATTTGAAAATGATAATTATGATACAGTCTCGTTTAAAATTTTAAACGAACATTTATTTTAGACGCCACATGTTTAATCTAACTTTAAATATCGTTTAACATTTAATTAAGTGTTTAAGTACTTGTAATGTAAGGCTGTTTGTGAAGAATAAAAATCATAATGCCAGTTTTGGTTATAACAATCAAATGAGCGTTGTTTAAACATATTTTGACGTTACATCATTTGCATTATACAAACATAGAGTAAAGTCGCGCTAAATGTTAGCATTACACTACAGGCGCGTCAATGAAAAATAATTAATTTACAATCTTAACAGTCTTTATTTCGGGTATGTGATAGATAGAATATAATATTATTTGGTATTAGTGTAGGTTCATTAATGAATTTATTGAACTCGTTGAAAAAATAATATTTTGCTCGCCATAGACTCGTATGATATAATTTTATTCAACTCGTTTAATTAATTCCCGTATTTTTAAAAACCCAAAACTCATTCAAATTTCCTATATATCCTCTTTCGTTTGGGAAAGAAGTTTTTTCCCGTTTCCCCGGGAAAAAATTTTGTATTTTTATATTTTATCAATAATGCCCTCAACATTTTCCAAAAACCATATATGTTTTATATCCATTTCTTGTTAACCCCTACCCACAAAAAATAACCAAAAACCGTTTCTTTTTACATTTTAATATACCACACATCCCACATGTCAAAACAAATTTTCTTTTAAACAAGTCATACAATTTTATTAAAAAAAATCCATCATTCGCCACTGTTTTGTTAAAACCATTTAAAAATTTCATTCTTTCCTAAAGCAAAATTAGTTTAAATTTAAAAAATGTACTGTTTTAAAACATAAAATATTTGCAAAAATTTGTTTTTTGACCCAAAAAAAAAGTCCCCTTTTTATAAATTAAATGATTATGACAAACCCGTTGGGATATTTGGTGGGTAATTAAGGGAAACTTTTTACTGCAAGGTGGGATTATCTTTTTACAATTTAAACCCCAATTCATTAAAAATTTATTTATTTTTTTTATTTATTTTATTTATAGATTTTGTTTTTTTCATTTTTTCCCCTTTTAAATGGTTGACATATTATTAAAACTACAAAATTAGCAATTTAATTAGACATAATTTTATCATTTGATACAACCTTAATTGTGTTAAAGTCAATAATACAACTACATAGTAAAACCTACAACATTATGTATAATAATTACTCGTATTATATAGAAAAACAAAACAAAAAAGCACGCACATAAAAACTGCAAACTTCTTATTCATGTACTTATACATGTACTATGAAATTTTATTTCCATGGAAATAACCATATCCCAAAGTCAATTGAAAAAAATATATAAAAGTTAGATTTCGTTAATTGCAAATGAACTACCACTACCTTTGTCATGGTACAAAATACCGCTTTATATTTATTTGAAATGCATATTAAGCTTAAAATTTTTTTTCTTATTTTCTCACTAGGTACTTAAAGAGTGTAACTCTTTCTTTCCATCTACCAAAATAAATGTCCAAAACTGCACATGTCCGTTTTTTTCAGTCACTGCAAAATTTGTCATTGACAAGTATCTTGGTTAAATAATAACTGACAAACTGTCCAGATTTCGCTAATTAATGCAATATTGTATTTCTTGACTTTTACTAACCTCTGATTAAACTTTTTTACAAATTGTACATTTCAGAACGGTGTTGTATATTATAAACTATACTTATATTAGTAATAAAAGTAACATAGCGGAAACATTTTAAACTTTATACAAAGCAAATATAGTAACAATTATAATCATTTGATCCTAAACTGACTTTTGTAAGAGTCAACGTCTTTATAGTGAATGCATTAGTTTGAAGCAGCATCACTGATCATTGTTTTGGTCATCTTTTCATCAAAGAAACTGATTGCTCTTTCATGGAGCAATTTAAGATTCGTTTCCAAGGCATTCTTAGAAAATCTATACAGTAACGTGCTCTCCTTGGACCAAGTGAATAAATCAGCCAAGCGCTTCTAAATAGCTGCCTCCTCCTTTTGAGTTGTAGGTGATTTGATAGCCTTTCCTTCAACATTTTCTGCCCCATCGACGACAAGACGGAACTCTCTTATATTATCTTCGGTGAGGGACAAAATGTCCTTGTACCCGGAAAGTGTTGAAGCATCGACATTAAACTGCTTCAGGTAAAAGTTCAATTCGCTTTGAAATTTTGCTTTCTCTTCATTTTTGTTTGAGCTCATTGTTATATCAAGAGCAACTCCGTGTATTCTCTTTAAGAGAACTATTTTCTTCTCATCTATCATTTCCCCTGTTACTGCGGAAAGAGATAATGCAAGGGCATCTTTCTTCAATTCATCACAGTTTTCCGAAGTCATATTTACTCGGACTGAAGTTGTCGATAAGAAACACCTTTGGTTTTTGTATTCCACTTTCTTCAAGGCACCGTTCTGTTGTTTGTTTTATTGATAGAAGAAGCTTATCTTCATCATGATCTTCTGAATTATCCTTTTCATCGTTTGCGATATCAGCATCGATATTTGTTCGAACAAAAACAAATTTTTTTTTGCAACTTTGTACCTCCGTCGCAAGCCACATGTCATTTTCTGTAAATCTGCCCTTGCTGATTATGATGAAAAAGTCATATTTCTTATATTCAACATTTTCTAAATAGTTTTTCTTCTTGAATTTGGGTGTTCCAACGCCAGGGAGATCCCAAACCAAAAAGCTCTTGTTATCTGGATGCTCGTATTGTGTGCATTCTTGCGTGGTTTCATTGACACCAACTTTAGCGGCGCCTGGTTGTCTAGCTTTCAGGCCTCTTAAAGAATTAATGAAAGATGATTTCCCAGAACCGGCATTCCCCGTGACTGCTGTATGTAGCGGAATATGTTGCCATCTTTTTAAGTCCTCACTTATTTGATTTTTTACACCATGCATTCCTTTTTTGCTTATAGTATATTTGTACTGAGCTATATCTATTTGTTCCATTGTTTCTTCCTCTGAATTCTGACTCGAATCTGGTTTTGAACCGAACCAACTGAAATAAACCGTTTTTGTATTACCGGTATTTGTATATTCAGGTTAGCAGATTGGGGCTGACAAACCAAAACTTAGTAGAATATATATATTTTATATCGGTAAGCTTACATTCCTAATATAAATGAACAATTTAGTCTGTATAGCAATAAAATTAATTAATACTTCGGTGAACTCAATAGGTAGAACGCTGAGCAATGAATCGGGCGGTCAGGGTTCGATTCCCGAATGGTGCAGCTCATTTTCGTTGTGATTAATTACGGTCATCCGCTCTGTACCCCTGCTATGTCATGTACATAAGTTACCAGTTCCTTCTGCTTGACAGCTTGCTAAAGAACAATGCGGTGGCTGACATTTTCTTAGGTAAATTCAACGTACCTACTGCAGTGATTCGGAGTTTATAAAGAAAAACATGGGTTTTTACCAACGTATATTTCTGAACTATTCCCTCCAATGGTCAATGAAAATAATCATTATGATCTGAGAAATAACTCAAACTATTTAACTGTACAAAGACGTACAGAAATTTATCCTAGATCTGTAATCCCTTCATGAACTTTCACAAACCATTCGCGATGCTCCAAATCTTTCAAATATCAAAAATTTAATAAAATCATTTTTAAGCCGCCTGTTGTTCCTAAATTCTTTTTAAGTGGGGATCGTACTTCTTCTGTTCATCATGCTAGAATAAGAAACCAATGCAGTAATTTAAATGCAGATTTGTTTAGGAATTACTTACGTCAAAATCCTTTCTGTGACTGTGGTAGCGGAGAAGAAGATGCAGAGCACTAGCCTATATTTAAATGCAAACATTTTACTGAACAAAGACTTAACTTATTTTTAGCTACTATACCTTTTCACCCCATAAATACAGAAAAACTCTTATTTGGAAACCCATTACTTAATGATGTCGAAAATGAATTTGTTTTTTCTGAAGTACAAAAATTTATTAAACATTCTAAAAGATTTTTATAAATTCAAAATTGATGTATACAAGTAAAAACCAGATCAGGACTTGAACCTGAGACCTTCCTATAACCATGTCCACACAAAGTCTAGGCTGCTCTACCGGCTGAGCTATCTGGTTAACTTGTAATGGTATATGTTTTTTTCTTTAATCTATCCACTTTCTACAATTTTTGTACAGTACAATACAAAATCCAGGTCACTCATGATACAGTCATAGACAGTCTTATGTTCCGCTTTTATTCCTATTCTAAAGTGGTACCGATAAATATACATGTAAATACTTTACTTACTTCAACTGACCGCTAAATCCATCTGTCAATGATTATAAAATTGTAAACTTAAAATGTGTTTACAAATATGTCATTTCCTTGTTGACACACGTGTACGTAAAGTAGATATATGACGTAAAACAATTGCCGAATTTGATTTCAAATTATCGCTGTCGACACTATCACACATCATCTCTGTCAATTTCATGGGTCAGGCAACGTAGGGGATTTTTTTTTCTCTCTCTCTGTTAAGGGCTGTTTAAAAATTTTTTTCAATTTTGTCAAGCTAAATAATTCCCCATTCTATCCAGGGTCTAAAATTTCTTTTGAAAGACCCTGTTCTATCTTAATTCTATGGAGCATTTTAATTGATAATTTATAAGAAATATATAAATACATGTGTGTGTGTGTGTGTGTGCGTGCGTGCGTGCGTGCGCGTTTTGATTTATTTCTCACTTCCACCTGTGTAACTATTCTTATGAAACTATCCGGAATATATGTATTATAAAGTTTGACTGTGTGGGAAAGGCTGTAGCTAATGTTGTAATAACTTGTAGCCCAACCCATTTGCACTATACTTATATGTACATTTGTTTTTGTTTCTTTGTGTGTTATTCATATCTTACATGTATTATATAGTTGCAATAAAATATTATTAAACTAAACTAGTGATTCGGAGAATAAACTAACAACAGCACCACCACCAATAAGATTATTTTACAAGCTTACCGCTGATAGAATTTCCTTTTATCTTGAGGTTCTTTCGGTTCTGCCATGTTTAATCTGCCAAATACATAACCAGAAGTCTTGTCACTTGCATATATAAACAAATCTCAATATTTAATATATGTGTACATGCATATTTATACAGTAGCTATAATAAAACCGGTACTACATGATAATTACAGAAGTAAATTAAGTAAACACTTCGAGTATTTTAATACCAGATGGCAGGCACGTTCTTTTCACAGTATAACAGACAACGAAAGGCCATATAAGGCCACATTTAGTACATCACTCGAAATATATATGAATGCATTTATGAATCTCGATTTATTTGATGTAATGTACCGTCGACTGCGTAAACAATTTAATAAATCCCTGTCAAATATGAATATATTGTCCCAATGCACTGCTTTGTATTTCTCATCGACTCCATATCTTTTATGTCTGTTAATAATAAATAATCGATTTGGTTTGCAGGTAACACCTGTCAAGCCGTAACATTTACGTAGCAGTCATATTTCTCTACAGTTCGATAAACAATCCATCTCCTGTACCATTCCCATTTCATCATCCATTAACTTATATATTTTATTTAGACAATACGTGCATACCTCAGTAATTACAGACTTCCCAGACCATCTCAAGTATGCGCACTTAGATTTATATATTTCCATTGTTTACACAAAAAATTTCAGCGCTGTGTTTATGTACTTTGATAAACATATTTCCTCGGTTTACACCAGACATTGTTTTTTTTTCTTTCGACATTTTAGGCCTTTGTTCATGTCCTAACAATTAATTGTAATTAATCATTATGTTTCATTATCATGTATCTTTCTATTGACTATTTATGTATTTCGGCACTGTATTTATGCACTTTGCTAAATAATGTATGTTTCTATGGTTTACACCAGAAATTGTTACTGTTCAAAGTGAACGAAACTTTGAGCATACAATCACGGCCGGATGTTAGACGTCAAATGCCACAGGGTGACAAAAATGTGTAGCCTGACCTTGACTTGAACACAGGGCCTTTGGAATACCGTTTTGCGTCTTAGCACATCATGCATTATATATTAACTTCAGACACATATAAATTAATAGTCAAAAATGCATTTTATATTCATAATACACCTTACTTTCGGTTTTTCAGCGGTAGAGGTCACCTCTTTGCTACTGATTTTTCCTATGACAGATAATCTTTCTTTCATTTTTGAAAGCATCTTTACCCTTTTAAGCGTTGTATTGATAATTTAAAAGTAATATTCATTTACACATTCTCTTAAATAATATGTAACATTTGGTCCATCAAGTGATACAGCGCAGGCAATCAATAGCCTTGCCACAGTATAGCATATTTAATGAATACACAATCAGGAATGGACAATCGCAAAAGAAGATAAATCACAATTTTGTGCACAGGAACCAACATTTTCAGGACAGTCTTTCATTAACTTAAGAATAGTGACAGTTTGCCAATGTCGTCACAGGTGATGAAACTTGGGTCCAGTAAACACACAACAAACGCCCAATGATTGCCAAAAACGGTCTTTGAGTGCAAAGAAGGTTTTGCATGCAACTTTCTTCTTTTGGGAAGGAGTCGCAATAAAAGTGCCGGTGAAAAAGGGCAATTCTATCACTGGGAAGTACTACAAAGACGTAGTAGTACTTAAGAAACTGAAACAATATTATAAGAAACGACGCCCTGTCACTGGTTTTAAGCATATCCGTCTTCTTCATGACAATGCCCCCGCTTATACCTCCGTTTCGGCGTTTTTGAAAAAAGAAAAAGTAACTGTTTTGCCTCACCTCTCGTTTTCTTCAGACCTTGCTGCATGTGATTTCTTTTTGTTTCCGAAATTGAAATCCGTCCTTGCTGGGCGGAAATATATGTCCCGACTGTTACCGTGACGCCTTCAAGAAGTGGATACATCGGCTAAAACTTTGCATTTCTAGCCACAGGGAGTGCTTGGGGGCATAAAGAACACTTTTGAGCAAATTTGGGTATCTAAAAAGTTGCTGGGGTCCCATTTATTTTACAGCCTTTGCGCGAAAACCTAAACACCCCCCCAAAAAAAAAAAACCAAAAAAAAAACACAAAACACAAAAAAACACACACTCACACGAAATCGCAACAAAGAAAATATAAAACGGGCGAAAAGTCAACTTGGGAAAACTTTTTGGTTAATTTAAGCATATTTTGCATATGATTTTTAGCGCATATCAACGTATGAGTAGCGTATACGAGCATAACAGTATAGTATGCAAAACATGTATTGTATATAGTTTGTAAAAGAATGCGTTTAAAATAAACTTAGACTTGCATAGTTTACTTATATTCTTTTCTGTTGTTAATATTATACAAATATTGTGATTTTTTACACGATACTTCTGCAGTTAAAGCGCCGACTGTAGAAACATTTCACACATGTTGAAAAAAGATATTCTAGTGGCTGATATCAAGGTATGTAAAATACAAGAGGAAACGTATAATTCGATTTTACTGTTTAATATTGATTGGGCAGGCTAGATTTGAGTCAAAACACCCAAATTTTTTTTTTGTTTAGGTTTTGTGTAAAGCATGTATAACAAATCGGAAATGGCACAACCAGGTATTTTTTACAGGGTTCATTTTTAATTTAATTAAAAATTAAGGGAAATATTTCTATATGAAATTAGTCAAACACTTATTGAAATTTGTGTTGAGAAACTACGTGTAAGTTTTTTTGGATGGCTGTTTTTGCTTCTCGCTTGATACTTTTGTTGTTTAAGTATTCATAGTAAACTAAATCAATTTAACCCGAATAAAGCCCAAGAAAAAATGTATTTCTTTCCTGTTCTTTTTATATGTGGTTAGATGGCACGAATGTGTTATTTAATCGATTTAAGGGCGCTTATTTAAAAGGGGTTTATTATAAATAGTTTATTTCCAAAATTTTTTGGCTAACTTAGAATTTTAATTTCTTATCTATCATTGATTATTGACACGACAGTTTACTCTTGTATTGTTGAATGTCATTTACGGTATAGCTCGAATTCGATATTTCTTTCATTATCTGTTTACATTAATTTTGACAATTTAGGGCTGACAATATTTCGCTTCCATGACATTTCGTCGAAAGACATCTCATTGAATATGACAGTTGGTCGAATCCGACATTTTTTGGAATTTTACAACTTGTAGAATGTTATAATTGGTCGTATTTTAGTTAATGTCAATCATTATCGAAAATTTGTAAATTTTGCGGAAAAAAATAAGTGAAAGAAACAACATAAAATGTAGGTTAAAATATATAACATTCTTTATTTACACAGCTATTTTTCTTTGTAAAAAAAAGAATTTTCCGGTGAGTTATCCGAATGACATTTATCACCGATGTGTATGTCATATGCGTAAGTTCACTATTTCAGTCAGTATCTGATATTGTGCACAATACCTATTCTTATATAAAAGTATACGTCTCATCGCCTAAATCTTACCCCATCTTAACAAAGGTCGTTCAGCGTAATAGCGTAGTGGTAGAGTGTCCGCTTTATGTGTGAAGCGACACTAATTCGAATCCTGGAAAAGGGCATTTTTATAGATATTTTTCAATCAACTGGATTTTAGCACAGGTGGCAGTATCAGTGTTTGGATACCCACCCCTATCTGCCCCTGAACCCCTACTACAACCCTGGAAAAAAATATAATTCAACACTCTAAGGCTTACTATAAGGTACCAAATACAAAACCACCGATGAAATTATATAAAAAAAAAAAAATTTTCCACTATCAAAATTATAGTTATAGAAAGGTGAAAAGCCTACTATATGTTCATTTGCCGAACAATGTGGAACACGGGAAATCGTCGTTTCTGCGACTGAGGCGCATTCCAAAGGCATTTTGCTGCATCATTCATTTACATCAATAAAAAGAACTTGAATTCCACAGCTTACTTAATTCAAGTTTAACGAATATCAATATTCTATCGATTTTTTGTATTTCACGGTAATTTTTGACTTGTCGCTGCCATTTTGGATTCTGATACCTGTGTGTTATACGCGATCTGATTGGACGTCAAATTTCGCTCGTCCAATTAGATTGCGTATTTCAACCCAGGTATCAGACTGCAAAATGGCTACGACATTTCAAAAAATACCGTGAAACAGAAAAAATCGGAATGATAGTGATATTCGTTAGACTTGAATTAGATAAGCTGTGGAATTCTAGTTCTTTTTATTAATGTTAATGAATGATGCAGCGAAATCCTGCCGGAATGCTCCTCAGTCACCGAAACGACTATTTCCCGTGTTCCACAATGTTTGGCAAATGAACATATTGTAGGCTTTTCACCTTTCTATAACTATAAATTTGATAGTGGAAAATTTTTTTTTTATAATTTCATCGGTGGTTTTGTATTTGGTACCTTATAGTAAGCCTTAGAGTGTTATTTTTTTCAGGGTTGTAGTAGGGGTCCAGGGGCAGATAGGGGTGGGGTGTCCAAACACTGATACTGCCACCTGTGGATTTTAGTTCCTCGTAAAAATCATACACACAATGCTAATCGATAACATTTAGTTTTTACAAACACTTAAATGAAAAAGACTGGGTTAAAGTCAACGCAGACGGTAATAAGGACTTACTCATGCAATGGTAGAACATTTAATTTATACTTTAAAAAACAAGGTAAAACATGTTGTGGATATTTATTTCTTGTAAACAAAAGAAAAATGTATTTTAGTGAATGAATAAAAGAAGTCCTATTTATATTACTTTTTAGTTTTTTCAAATACAATTAGAAAAGTAAATGTCAAACGGACAAACAGTTCGCTCAGTTTTTCGCTTGAAAGTTAAGCAACAAAAGCCTTGTTTTATGTTACAAATTAAGCGTTTATATTAATAGAAAACAACGATATCCTCGATACGACATTTGCAGTGGTGAGTTCCATCGGTTATGAGTTACATGCAAAATTGAAAGTGTGTCGGTAGCAGGAACCCAGTTTGGATAAGTAGGACAATTCCATTATTCCTTTTTATATACATTTGTATTTAACTTATTGTTCGGTTCGAGGCTCAGCTCATATTTTACTTAAATTACTACTTTTACAATCAAATATCATGTTATCTATTGAAGAATTAGAAATAATAAAAATGTGTTTGTGTTAGAAATACACAATTAAAATGTTTTAGCAATTATTGTTCTAACTTGCAAATACCCCATAGGTAGCTTTTTTAATTTATAAGATATCATCAGCATGATTTCATTTCAGTGTTTTAGACTATGACAAATTATATACATGGACACAATGATAAACACAAATTATACCAGTTTGCTTACATGCGTATAGTATACATCAATTTACACTGGGGATTATAACCAATAGAGTAAAAAAAGTTTTCAAATTTGTTATAATTATATCTCTGATATTTTGAATGATTGACTGAGAAGATGAATGTCTATTAAGGAGGGTTTATAAAGTCTGATTTTATTGACCTGTCAATTATGAATATTTTATAGCAATCATTTAGATATTTAATGTCACTTCGGCTCTGTCCGTGCATTCAACGAGAATTGATACGGAGCATATAAAAGTTATGTTATGAAATGTCACACCAGTTTAATTCATAGGCTTTGTTCCATCCGCAAACGCATAGTATTTTGTGTGATTGCCTAATATGTTTTAGGTCTGTGGTTCAATCCCTACTTTTGCCATTGTTTTAAACCTACTCTGTCTATATTTTTACAGTTATATTTTGGTGCTTGCAAAATTGTCTCGATTTGTATTGTTTTTTTTTCGGCATTGAAATGACAATTATTTAATTTGATACGGATGAATTTTAAATATTAATTCTTCAACCGTATCATTTAAATATAGTTTATAGTTTACCAAAATAATTGTATAACATAATAAATAAATTATAATACAAAACGAAAGAAACAAAAGACAATCGAAGCTTTAATAATATTGAAAATATAAAAAAAACATGGACCTTCGCGGTCTCAATCTTACAATTCGGAAGAATTCATAAATTCATGAACCTGAAATCGTGAAGTCACAAATTCCGTTGTGAATTCATGAAGATGAAATAGGAAATTCGTGAAGATGAGATGGCTCTTCCGGTCTTTCGTAATTGTGTATGTTACTTTACGCGTAAACACGACGTGTATTATACGTACTCTACGACTTTATCCCTAAAGAGCTATTCAAAAAGTATCTTCTTACGTTTGTACGGAAGCGTATCAGAGCCTACAGTTGGTGAGATGTTTTGCGCTAAGTCGACTTATT